CGCCATGGGGACGGAGTTGACGAGGCACCTCAGGGCCTGTTCAGGCCGGGTCTTCCTCAAAGGCTCTCGCCCGCGGCGCTTTCCCCCTCCCAGGCCCTTCCGGGCTGCCGTTCTCCCCCTGCGGCCTCTCAGTCGGAGGAGGGCGAGCCGTGGGCCTGCCAAAGGCGCGCTGAAAACCCCGGCGATACTGGGTTTCGCCGGCTTGCAACACTGCTGTGCGCACCCGCTAAAAACTGGTTTCTTGTGGCGGACACTGTCAAGCCATGACTCTCAATCAAGCTGATAGTAAAAGCAAGGAGGAAGAAGTGGTTTACACCAGCGTAAGAGAAATTTACCCGTGGTACGGGTGATCAAATAATACCAGAAGTCTGGGGGGGGCGGCTAGGTGGTTGCCTGGTGAACTCAGCCCAGCAGCAGCACCAGGCATGAAGGCGGTGCCTGCAGTGCTGGTTAAAAAGCATCCAGGAGCAAACCCTGTTTAGTTTATTTGAGAGTTTGTGGCCTTTCCTCGTGGCAATCAGTCCCTGTGGCCAAGGAATTGATAGCCTTCCCTTTCCACGTTGGCCACCTGGAAATGTGGAGTGGTTTTACAGTTCTAAAGCTGTGGCATGTGTTTCCATAGTAATGCACTGCAGGTTTTGGGAAGGGTGACTTTTTGGCAGCTGGGAAGAGCCTAACTCTGCGAGGTGCTGAGCCCCTGGCAGATCCCCGACTGGCAGCTTTACCAGGAGCTTGTCTTGAAGGTAACTTCTTAAGCCAGGTAATAGGCAGCCCCACCAGAGGGGATGCGATACTGGACCTGCTGGTCACCAACACAAGCGAGCTAATCAGTGACTTCAAGACTGGAGGCAGCTTGGGCTGCAGTGATCATGCAGTGGTAGAGTTCACAGCCCTGAGGGCTATTGGTCAGGTGAAAGTAAACTCAGGACCCTGAAGTTTAGGAAAGCAAAATTCCAGCTCTTCAAGGAGTTAGTCAATAGGACCCCCTGGGAAACTGCCCTTGGGAACACGGGAACAGAACAGAGCTGGCAGATCTTTAGGGATGCTTGCCATAAAGCACAAGAGCTCTTGATGCCCAGGTGTAAGAAATTGGGAAAGGAAGGCAAGAGACCAGCATGGCTGAGTTGAGTCCTGCTGGTCAAACTAAAGGGCAAGAAAGACATGGACAGGTATCCTGGGAAGAGCATAGGGATGCTGCCTGGTTGTGTAGGGATGGGGTCAGGAAGACCACGGCACAGCTGGAGCTGAACTTGGCAAGGGACGCGAAGAATAATAAGAGGGGCTTCTACAGGTATGTCAGCCAGAAAAGGAACATCAAAGAAAGTATAACCCCATGTTAAGCAAGACTGGCAAACTGGTAATGACAGATGAGGAGAAGGCTGAAGTACACAACAGCTTTTTTTGCCTCAGTCTTCACTGGCAGCCTCTCTCCCCACATGTCTGGAGTAGATGGACCACAAGGCAGGGACTGGGGGAGAAAAGTCCCTTCCACTGTAAGAGAAGATCAGGTTTGTGACCACCTGAGGAACCTGAACATATGGAAGTCTATGGGACCTGACGAGATGCATCCCAGAGTCCTGAGGGAATTGGCTGACACAGTTGCCAAGCCACTCTCCATGATATTTGAAAAGTCATGGCAGTCAGGTGAAGCCCCTAGTGACTGGAAAAATGGAAACATTACATCAATTTTTAGCAAGGGTAGAAAGCAGAACTCTGGCAACTACCGACCTGTCAGCCTCATCTCTGTGCCTGGGAAGATCACGGAACAGCTCCTCCTAGAAGCTATGCTAAGGCACATGGAATACAGAGAGGTGATTTGAGACAGCCAGCATGGCTTCAGCAAGGGCAAGTCCCTAACCAACCTTGTGGCCTTCTGTGATGGAGTGACTACATCAGTGGACAAGGGAAGACCTACGGATGTCTATGTGGATTTCTTTGAGGCCTTTGACACAGTCCCCCACAACATCCTTCTCTCTAAACTGGAGAGGGATGGATTTGATGGGTGGACTGTTCATGGGTGGAATTGGATTGCATCCAGAGGGTAGTGGTCAACGGCTCAATGTCCAGATGGGGATCAGTGACAAGTGGTGTCCCTCAGGGATCCATATTGGGACAAGTATTGTTCAATATCTTCATCAATTACATAGACAGTGGGACAGAGTGCACCCTCAGCAAGTTTTCAGATGACCCCAGGCTGATTGATGCTATTGACACACCTGAGGGACAGAAAGCCATCCAGAAGGACCAGGACAGGCTCAAGAAGCGGGCCCATGTGAACCTCATGAGATTTAACAAGGCCAATGCCGGGTCCTGCAGCTGGGTCAGGGCAACCCCCAGTATCGACACAGGCTGGGGGATGAAGGGATTGAGAGCAGTCCTGTTGAGAAGGGCTTGGGAGTACTGGTGGATGAAAAGCTGGTCATGAGTCAATAATGTGCGCTCGCAGCCCAGAAGGCCAACTGCATCATGGGCTGCATCAAAAGAAGTGTGGCCAGCATGTCGAGGGAAGTGATTCTGCCCCTCTACTCGACTCTTGAGACCCCACCTGGAGTACTGCATCCAGCTCTGGAGTCCTCAGCACAGGAAAGATATGGACCTGTTGGAGCAGGTCCAGAGGAGGGCCATAAAAATGACCAGAGGGATGGAGCGCCCTCTCCTGTGAGGACAGGCTGAGAGAGTTGGGGTTGTTGAGCTTGGAGAAGGCTCCAGGGAGACCTTATAGCAGCCTTTCAGTATTTAAAGGGAGCCTACAGGAAAGATGGGGACAAAATTTTAGCGGGGCTTCTTGCGATAAGACGAGGGGTAATGGTTTTAAACTAAAAGAGGGAGGTTTTAGACTATAAGGATGATTTTTTTTTACAATGAAGGTGGTGAAACACTGGACCAGGTTGCCCCGAGCAGTGGTAGATGCCCCATCCCTGGAAACATTCAAGTTGAGGTTGGACGGGGCTCTGAGCAACCTGATCTAGTTCAAGATGTCCCAGCCCATTGCAGGTGAGGTTGGACTAGATGACCTTTTAAGGTCCCTTCCAACCTAAACTGTTCTACGATTCTGTGCTCGCCAGTGCTCCTCCTGGTGTGTGAGGCTGCTTGGCAGCTGGGTCAGGGAGCGGGTGTTGCTGACCACCTACCTCGCCTGAGCTAGGTTTCTTCTTTAGCATGTGATAATGGTTCTGGCTGGTGGCGGTGGGCATGCTTTCCAGGTTCTCCTTGAAGGTGGCTCACTTGTCTCGATACAAGGAAAGGTATTTTAAGAGAAGACCAAGGATTTGCACTTCTTTTGCAGAGCCCCCTGTAAGCCAGCCAGATTTGGAGGGGATTTTGTTTGTCGAAATACTTAACCAACCCCTTGGAAGGCATACTTTTTTGGAGCAAAGTGAATGCAACTGCTGCTGTACACTGTACAGTATGTAACGCAGTCCATGTTCTCATCCCTGCCTATTTGCTTAACTACCTTCTGTTTGCTAGACTAGGATAGGTAAAAGATAGAAATGCAGTAATTTAATTTCTAATGGAACAGGGTGTTTAAGTTGAGTGGAAGTCACTACAAAAGTAGAACTTCAATTATGTTTTTCTGTTGAAAAGAATTGATATAGAAGTAAATTTATATTACAGCTTACTTATGACCCTTTATGCACTCAAGCTTTTGCAAAGCAAGCTTTTACAAGCATGAATATTGAAAAGAAAATTAACGTTAAGTCTCAAGACTGAAACATGATAATGGGAAATGTCAGTTGTGTTTTAGATTTCAGAATTTATAGTGCACGTAATGTTGTTTAGTTACTGCATTCATGAAACAGAGGGGATAATGTGATTATATATAATTAATCACAAAGCCCAAATAGCACGTCTGGGATATTTGTGATAAATAGTTTTTTATTTAATGACCTGTAGCCCAAGAAATACTCACTGGAGACAATTGTGAATAACTCTGTGTAATGGATATTATGGAAATTTAGTGATCTGGTTTTAGAAAGTGCATGAATAGAAAAAAAAGACAGATTTATCTAATAAATTTTTAATGGCAATATTTCCTTTTGGTTAAACTGCTATCATAAGGAGGTAGATTTTTTTGTTGTTAGTTAGCCAGTTCTAAGTATCTGTCTTCAGTCTCTTACTTTTTGGAAGTGTGCCAGTAAGTAATAAATGGGATATTTATAAGAGCCAGGCAGAGGTAAATATTCTAAAAGATGGGAGGCTGAAAAAATTCCAGATTTGTTAGGTGCGCGGGTTGCCACGGTTGAAGCTTTTGAATTACATTTCCATTTAGCAGTTAGTGAGATAGATGTTAAAGAAACAGATGCCCGTCTCCCACTGAAACTCTTGCAGCAATGCGTGAAAGCGAATTGTTTGGAGTTTATACAGTGGTTCAGCTCTCAGACTCTTTTGTTCCTGTTCTTGCTAATTGGGATACAGCTTTGTGTGTGCTTTGCCTTCCAGTTAACATCTAACAGATCTCTCCTCACCTACAGCCTTACTTAGGCCATATGTAATTGAAATTTGCCCAGCAGATTCTGGATTGCCAACCATAATGATTTCTCTTTTCACTTTGGAAGCAATTAGCGTGTTACAGGTATCCCTAGGACTAATGCACGCACTCCTGGGTGTACTATAGCTGTGTTCAGCTTTGTGCTTATACCAGGAGCTCAATTAATTTGTTTTTCTTGCAGTGAAAGATTCCGATATATGAGCCTTACCTGTAATAGATTTTTGTGGAACTGGATTTAAAAATGAGTTCTTTAAGCAATATAGCCCTGTGTCC